ATAAAAATACAACCGAAAATGGTTAATTTTGGTTGGAAAGGTGTAAAAAAAAGTGAATTCAGGAAGCAGAGACGTTTTGTGTTGACCGTTCAATCGAAAAGGCGCAAGTGCACTCACATGTTATGTAAATCACTCCACAAAGGTCATAATTTATACAAAATGTCATTTAAAAAGTTTAAGACGTTAAAGTGCATTTAATAAAAGATAGTTTTGGGTTTAGTTGAGAATTATATAATTAGCAGGTTTCTTATTTTTTCTGGGAATTAAAAAATGTCAAGCAAAAAATGCAATATTATTTGATAGCAAATTTTATACGTTAATGAAATGGACTGAAAATATAATAAAAAAATATTATCATTATTACTGCTGATAATCACAGTCCTGAAAAAGTATTTTTTTTGGTTCCAGACCAGATAAAATTTTATACTTAAATAATAAAATTCAAAGTACTGCTGAGTGAGCAATTACAAAGAGAGAAACAAAATTAACTGTCAAAATTTTCTTACTCAGAAAATAAAATATGAGCAGGGATTTAAATTTCGGGCTAATTTAAGCAAAATTTTAAATATAGTTTGGTGTTTGTGTAAAATTATCAAAAATGTTGAAAATATTGCAAGGAAAACTTTTGTTTTAATTTAAAACAAAAATGTAAGAAAGTAACGGTCATATTAGTGAGTCGGAGGATGCAGTCGCGCAGTTAAAAGCATAACAAAAAAGTAAATAAATGTTCACAAAATAATACAAAAAATTGCTCACAAAATAAAAAAAATTTGGGATATTAGATATCAATCATGCCAGAATAGACACATCATCAGAATTACCCATAAGATCACTTTATTTGTTACAAAGAAATCTTTGCAACTACTGAATTGCATTGTTTCAATTTAGAAGTTCCTTCGGGATAATTCTGAAAGACATTAAAAATAACTTTATTGATACGGATTTTGAAAAATAAATTTAAAAAAGTTTGCTTTCATTAATTATCAAAGTTGAGCAATCTCACAATTTGATGGAAGCAATTAAATGCATACTTATTTATATAAAAGTTAGCAATAAAAATTTTTCATAAAAAGCAAACTCCAACATATGTAAGATTTGCTTCTGAAAGTGAATTCATTGATAATTTTTAAAGATTTGAAAGTACACAAAAAAGTAAATTAAAAAATTATCACGGCAAACGTGATTCTCTTTTGCTAGGAAGCGCATGAACCTTTTAAGTCTAGTCTTGACTTCAAATTGTATTGAGCTCATATTTGCAAAAGAGTCAAAGCAAGCATTTAAAATGAATTAGCAGAGAAATTAGTCTTTAAATCATATGCATAAAAGTGACAATGTGAAGAGTATTCAAATTAAATGATTGCAATAGATTATCACTTTGAATGAATTAATTGAAAAACAAACAAGTGACTGACATAGTATTCAGAAACAGAGATAAGTTTCTGCAGTAACAAGTTGTGATTCTTCAGATGATATTGCCAACTTTCAAAAACTGCAGACATAGTTGCAACAGTGCTATTTTTACAGTAATAATCCCACCGTAAGTGAGAAAATACTTACTTTTTTTAGTCCGTCGCCCTTTTTCAAAACATTTTTGCCTTGCGTGACCCCTTGCAGATATTTTCCTTCTCCAGCTTGGTTTTTAATACATTAATTACATAATGAACAATTAATTGTACTTCCACTTTTCTCGTTTCGCTTTTTTAATCATTCATAAAACAAGCACAACAATGATAACGAACATAAATAATAGTGATAATGTCAGTGATAAATGGACAGAACTATTGGCTTCGTTCACCATTTTGGAGTTAAAAATGGGAAGTATTTTCAACAAATTACGACAAATTTATCATCTCAAAACAAATATCACATTAAATAATTCTATTAATTTTGGTTAAATGCAACGATTTAAAGATAATACACATGTAAGAGTCTAAATATTTCCGTAAAATAATAGCTACTAAATAATACACATTAAATATTATCAGGACTTAAGTAAAATTCGCGAGTTTATGAACAATATTATTTTAAACAAACAAGATATTTAGCATTTTAAAAGCATGAATTAATCAACTTAATCAGATTTAATAATTTTTTGCAACAATTTAGATGAGTGAAAATACACAACTATTTGTAGAAGCATTAAAACGGATTTCAGAAGAAAGTCTGAGCGCAATATGAGCAGTGCAAAATTATGCATATACTTTGATGAGAACACAAACAATTTAGTGTAATTTGAAGCTAAATTCAGTGACATTGCAATCATAACAAATGCATGCGTGCAATCATTTTGCAAGTTGTGCAAACTGATTTAAGCATTGCATCTGTCATCTTTTAAAAAAAAACAAGCAATAAAGCAGTAATTCAATTTCAATACTTAATAAACGTCAAAGTACTGTACTGTACAAGTATTTTTGTATTTCTTCAAATTTCTCCCACAAAGTAAACTATTCATTATGCACAGTGAACAAAGCAAAAAAGGTTCATATTGCTCAGTGATAAATGCCAACACATCCAGAAGCTGATAACAGTGACTTCTGCTTATCACTGATAACGTAAAGTACACGAGGAAAGTTTATATGATGAGAAAAAAACTGTTCTTGTTGAAAAACGCTGAAAAGAAATAACTTGCAATTAAACACTTCTATTCAAGACTCTGCAAACATGTTGAAAAATTTGAAAAAAATATTAGTGAGCGATGCAATGTAATTCATTTCACGTCTTTATGACTTCATACTTTTTCATAATTCATAAATATTGATTAAACTAAATTATTAGTCACTCTGAAAATTAGCATAAATGTATTGAAGCAATGTTTAAGATTCTCAACTAACTATTGTTAAATTTTGTGAAATTTTTAAATATTGCTTGCTGAAGTGAATTTCATCTGTTACAAAAAGGCCATCTAAAGGTGATAATCTTCAAAGCATTTCCAATGATAAATGATGCTGCTTTTTATTACTTTCGGATTCTTAAAGTTTTTATTTTGTTTGTAGCCATTTATTTCTTCCAAAGATACATTACATTACATTCAAATGACTGGATTTCAGAACACACATTAAGCACAAAACAGCAACAGAAGACTAGTGCAAATAAAAGAAAGCGATGCAGAAGTGATGGTACAAATAAACTTTTGCACCAAAAAACGGAATAAATTATGCAAAATAGAAGGAGGTTTGATATTCTATTTCAAATTTTTTATGTGCTAAACAAAAGATTCAGAACTGGGAGTCAGTGGTTTTTTATTGCAGTTGATCTGTGCATTTCATTTTACGTAAATCTGATCAACAGATATGTTATGTATCTACAAGTATATGAAAATATATCTTTGATCAAAGTGATTGCATATTTAATACGTAAAATTTGTCGTACAATTTGAAATCAGATTTTTGAAGGAACACTGAACTGCACATGTCACGTTTGAAAAGTCGCAGACTAAGTGAATAACTTATTAATTCTTTCACTTCTTTCACTTCAACTTCCGTAAAATCATTGCATCATAATTAATTTACTTCTCTGCCAGAATGATGATGATAAAACACAATTTGAACAACAAAATATGACATATACTTTTATCACTGATCATTATCACTTCATCTCTTCTTGTCACGCCAGCAATAACTGATCTCTTTGAAGAATCTGCATAAATGCTCATTTTTTATGAAAATGAGATGTAAATAATAACAATAAATAACTGAAATTCCAACTCAGTTACAAAAATTTCTGACTCTTAACAAGATGAATTTACTTAAATTCAAATGCTAAATCTTCTATTCATTTGACGTTCGATTAATTATCAATCATGCAAATTTAAATTTCATTTAGTTTTCAGGACTGATTTTTTGAAATTAAACGAAAAAATCAACCCTTGCTCTATTAAGTGTCATTATCAAAGCAATTGATAATCAATGAGAAAAAAATTGCTATTTTGCAAATGAATAAATGAATAATATCACAAAATACTGCTCCACTAAAAGATGATTGTTTCACCTTTGAACTGATTGATTCTTCCTCTCAGTGCTCAGAAAGCGCCAAAAGCGATACTCGCAGATGTAATGGAAGAACGCAAAAGCACAAACAATCAGCAAGTAAAAAACACTTTGCATAAATACAAAAAAGAACGCATATTTATATTTTGTAAGCAATTCCACTTTTTAGCAAATACTAAATTTAATTTGTTTTTATCACATTTTTCTTTGTTCGGTTTAGAATTGATAAGTAACTTACACACATTTTCATGCCACTTCGATTCGTTTCATATTCATTATCAACCATAAATGTGAAAATCAAGAAATATGGCATCAGCACATTCGCAAACATTTGCGAGAATCAATTTTTTTAGCATTAACACAATCTTATCTATTTGTTTAACATAAATTAAAAATTTTGCAATTTATTTCAAGCAGCGATATTTTTTGATATGCGCGAATTTGTGCACTATAAAAGTAGCCTCATTTGAGTACTATTGTAAGGTACAGAAAGCTTACAAATTTAACAATATGCATTTAGATGAAAATTATTTCATAGCAAAATTATTAAAATTAGATTTTTAAAGAATTTTTTCGAATATAGCAAAATCTGAGATAATAAACAAAAAAATGCGATGCGATCGCAAGAGATGTTTGCTTTTTTTGCATTACATTTTTTAAAATATAAAAAATCTGAGCAGAGATTTGATGCTTCCCTTTAACATTCAAAGCAAATGAACAGAAATAAACTAATACTTTCTAATCTATCAAATCCATTTAAAAAATACATCCAACAAGTGCATGCAGCATTCACTTTACTTCCTTCACTAACTCATTCCTTTCCAAATTTCGAACTGATATTAATTGTTTTCGTTGTGAGAAAATCAGAGTTGCACAAAGAAAGTGCGTAGTAGCATAACAGTTCTGGTACTCGCTGGAAAGGTTCCATTTTTGTTAGAATAATGCATTTTTATTTGAAGTTTGGAGTGATGAGTATTCAGTTTAAATGTATTCTTTAGGAATCTCTTTGACAAAATGAAGGAAGATCCATCAAAATCAGATCATGATGTCGAAATGATGGAAGATGAGGAAACAGACGAAACTTCTGTTAAAGCTCCCAAGAAAAAGGTTGAATATCCAAATTTTGATTAGCAGTGAAAAAGTATCATTCCAATATTCCAAAATTTTTGGCTATTTTAAAATATACTTTGAGAGTTTGGCCGTCTTCGTAAAGAAATCCATGAAAAACAGTTGTGTTTCGTAGTTCAATTCGTTTAAGATTTTTGTTTGCAATTGAGTAATTTGATTTCTTTTAAAGTGAAATAAATTAAGGTTTATATTCCCGGTACGAGCCGTCCACTGCGTGAAGATGAGGAATGGGATTTTGATCCCGAAGCATATCGTTTTTATCATACTTTTGAAACAAGCAAGTTTGCTTAACTCTGATGAAAATTTCCTTGCTCACATTTGTGTAAGCATTATTAGTGGAGATAAGTTTCAGAAGTAAAATAATACAGAAGTGTGGTTGTTACACAAACAAAGTTACGATAATTAAGCCGAAGTATCCCGCACTGAATATTAGTTGACTCTTGCTAAATGAAGTGCATAGAGCTAACAAGCCATATCATATTTTCGCTACTGTAATGGATAGAATTTAGATCTCAAATAATGTGTATTTGTTAAACAGAACTGTACTTTATATGTTTTAAAACAAATTCGGGTATTCATTTTTAGAATGGCCGTGTCTCAGCTTTGACATAATACCAGATGATCTCGGCTGTGATCGCACAGGCTTTCCAATGAGTTGCTTTTTGGTTGGTGGAACACAAGCCGAAAAAGCAACCAGTAATGAATTACTCGTGATGAAGTTGTCAAATTTAAATCCAATCACAGGTTTATCTATATCTTAAAATGATAAAAGTCATTTATATTTTATAAACCATTCGTAGAACAGCAGGTATATTCGTATTTTTTTCTGAAAAAAATCATTCTAATGGTTGATATTGATTGTATTGTGTTTGTGATCCTCACTATCCACTATAAATACAAATTCACCATACAATCAGGGTACGAAAATAATTTTTTTTCAGAATTATAAGATCAGTTATCACTGCAATTTTCATTGCCCAGAATTTTGAATACCTCAAGAAACTTTATCTTCAGATGAACAGTCATCAGATAGTGAAGGCGAAGTTGAAGAAAGTGCTCATATTAAACAACCAATGTTTCATGCTGCTGCTATCCCTCACATTGGAACTGTCAATCGCTTAAAGGTTTAAGCAAAATATATTTTGAAGTTAATAAATGATGATGCAGAAAATGTGTCTCGATTTTATTTTTTTACGACTTTTATTGCCTTTCAAACGACTTTTATGACTATTTCAACAGTTGTAATGAGTGAAACTTTTGATGAAAAAGCTCCTAAAAATCAAAATCGGGAACATGTTTCTATTTTTAATGTATTCATTACAGACGACTACTATTGGTCAAAGCAAAGTTTGTAGTGCATTCAGTAGCCAAGGAAAAGTAACATTATGGAACCTTACTCAAGCTGTTGATGAATTAAATAATATAGAAAGAAACGATCGTATCATCAAGCGCCCCAGAGATCGACCTTTGTTTTCATTTGTTGGTCATCAGGCAGAAGGATATGCCTTGTCGTGGTCACCACTAAAAATGGGTAATTCTGTGTAACATTTTTTGTTTCGCCGCAGTTTTGATCTTTGTTTCTTCTAATGTGACGTGCGTATTTTAGTGTCATTCTCAGTTTATTTTCTCTGATCAAATATCAACTAATTACCGTTTTATACAATTTAAGGTAGACATGCATCGGGTGACAGTAGGCACAAAATACATTTATGGACAATGGCTGAGGGTGGCCAGTGGGTTGTTGACCAGAAACCTTTTCAAAAGCATAAAGATTCAATAGAAGACCTTTGCTGGTCACCAACGGATGAATCAATTCTCGCTTCTTGTTCAGCTGATGGCAGCATAAAACTGTGGGATACGAGGCTAGTACTTAATTCTGCTTGTTAGACGGGTTATTCTCTGCACATCCAAAAATGTTGCTTCGAACAAAACTCATATTAATTCTTAAGGTCTGCACCATCGGATGCATGTGTCTGTGACGTTGAAAATGCGCATGAATCACATGTAAATGTGATTTCTTGGAACAAATCTGAACCTTTGATAGTGAGCGGAGGTGATGATACAGCTATAAATGTATGGACAACTAAGTCCATGCAGGTTGGTCCCAATTAATAATTGATTTTGAGACTGTTGAAAGAAAAAAAAAATAACTAGTTTGCAACTTCTTGTTTGCCGCAATTATCTAATCAGCACTATACTTGTTCATTTGTTAAATTATATTTGATAAGAAATAGTCGTTGAAAGAATTTCCCAAAGCATGCAAATTCAATTTGCTTCACATCTGTTGTTTATAGTGCAAATACTATATAATTTAAACAATTATTGCAATTTTAATGTATAATCAAATATCAAATCAAATTCCTGTTGTATAAATTGCAGTACAAGGAACCTGTCGCTCGCTTCAAACACCATAAAGCACCTATAACGTCAGTAGAATGGTCTCCTCATGAAACAACGACAATGATGGCATCTGGCGAAGATGACCAAGTTACTATTTGGGACATGGCTCTTGAAGCTGACTCACCTAATGAAGCATACGATATACCTCCACAGTTATTATTTGTTCACATGGGTCAAAAAGAAATTAAGGAGGTTTGATATTTGCTTTCTAAATTGCGCAACAGCTTAATTGCCAGATTAAACAAATAATTGAAATTGTGATGAAATTTTTAGGTACACTGGCACAATCAAATCCAAGGTTTCGCAGCCACAACTGCTTTATCGGGTTTTAACTTGTTCAAACCAATCAATTTGTAATTATTACTTAAAATTCAAAATTTTCTCCAATTTTTTGTTGTTTTAAACTGTTGGTTTATAAACGATTTTACAATAGTTGTATTTCTTATGTTCATTTCCCGAAACACAAATGGACTTATGGTATTTCTTATCACAATTAAGAGTGGATACATTTTTCAATAATAAGTACCAAGTAAATAATACCTTATAAAGATAGTGCAGTGGGATTCATTGGAACACTAGCACAGCAATAATAACTTTTTCTTGCGCAACTGATATCAGAGATGTTTGTTATTAGTGTCTTACATTCTAGAAACAACGGTCTGATCTGATCACACGCAAACGTGATGTGAAAAAAGAATATCAAAGGGCTGCAATTAGACAAAACGGAAGCATGTGAAGTTAGGAATATAATCCGATAAGTTTCGAGATTAGATCCGTTTAGGATTTCTCACTGCCATAGTGTCTTTAGCAGTACAAACTATGCAATGCACATAGTTTGTACTGCTAAAGACAGACCCAAAACTTACCAATCTGAACCTATATTACCCCTGACACTATTTGTGACAGACTGATATTGTGTATAAAGCAAATTAGTCCAGTCTGGATTTAAAATTGACCATTCTTTTTTAAGTTCTTCCAGTTCTTGTTGTGACTCCGAGCTGCTGCTACGACTCGGTGATTCGACCAACGTCAGAATCTGTTTTTTTCCTTCTTCAGAAACACCGCGAATTTGTCCTACGCCATTAATACATCCTGATGGACAAGCCATTATTTCAACGTAGTCATAATTACACTTGGAACGTTTCAATTTCTGCACATGATTCTGTATATTACGAAATCCATAGCATTTTGCAACAGTTAACAACTTTTCTGCGCCATCGAACACATCTATAATTTCCAAATTCTTCTCTCTGAAATGATGTCTGTTATTTGACTGCTCAGTAGCTACTAACAAAAATGACTTGTGGCACACTTTCTTTTATTAATAAAAAATACCGAAAAGGACGAAAAATCAGAGATTAGCAAACAAAGCGTGGACTGACTTATAGGTTTTTTCAATTCTAACTGGCTTGTTTAATTCAGTGATGAATCTTTCCACAACATATTCAGCGTAGCCACCGGACGACCCTCCATCAGTATTAATTACGAAACCATTTTCTATCGCATTCAACCAGTTGATGGCTTCATTTGAAGGACGGAAGTCAAATGAGCTATTTTCGGACAGAAGTTTGTCCACTTCAGCTAAAATCTCTTGGAATTATGATAAATTTTGAACATAGAAATACACACTAAAATTGCAAAACAGGAACGAAACTTGAAACTTAATCACCTGTACTTAGAACACAATCTACCTCACGGTACTGGAATTTTAAGGGGTGCGGCCGTGCAGCTTCAAGCTTTTTATCGAAACAAGGCATCACAGCAGTATGAAATATTTTTTCCGGTTTCAAATCAAACTTTCTGTAAGTAAAAAAAATTCCTTTTAAAATAGACATGAAATTACAGCCAAGAGATTGACAAAGTTTTTTCGAAATAAAACAGGCAACCTTGCTAAATAATCCTTTACAAGTGCACCCATTACAGCTTGTGGTGATCGTACACGGCTCATATGAGGTATGAGTAATTCACCATGTGTTTTCTCAGCATAACACACTAAAACATGATTTAGTCATCATAGTAAAAAATTGCAAGCACTCATTAAGAAAAATAATCTCAAACTACATTAACTATTCTATAAACGATGAAAAAAGAAACTATGATAGAAATGATAATACGATAGTTTTTAGTTGCAGCTAAAAAATGGCAATTTTAATTTTTTTTCGATTAAGCTCTTTTTTTCCCGAAACATTTAATTAGCTTGGAACAACGAATTACATCACTTAATATAACTTACCAAAACCTGGACAAACTCCAGTCAAGATTGGCTTTTTTAAATGCTGTTTTTTGAATTCATCATAGGAGAGTGATAAAGTGAGCTGTCTGCCAAAGCTTGAGTCCACAACATATCTTACTCCTAGACTTTTAAAATTCTTGCCAACAAGTTCTGCTGCTTCTGATATTTGACAACCACGTTTATAAGCAATTGATGCTAAGGACTGCGGGGAAACTGTCAAAACGCTTAACTCCGAATTCATCAAACCTTCAAGAAATCTTGCTTCTGATTGTTCCTGAAAAAACAAGTTAGCCTGTTTTGAATATAAACGAATAATAAATGGGCTTTCGATCCTTTTTCAATAAATTCCATCAACAACGAATTTACAAAGAATCTAAAAAACATGCAGAGTGAACAGTATAAAAAACGACATCTAAAAATATATGCTATTCAAACACTTCTTTGTAACATTTGATTTGCTGCACGAGAAATGCAAAATAATCTAAGACATCTATAATGCAATTAATAATTAAGATATTCTAACCCCAACAAGTATGGTTTCTGCACTTGTGATACAACCACTGCAAGCAAGACAATCATTCAATGTCACCACCACTTTTTTCTTAGCCACTTTCGACTGACCCTTAATTTTGATTCCAACTTTCATATCTGACTCTCCAGAAAGTGGTAATACACACGCCTAAAAAAATTCTAAATAAGTGCACCACACACATCTCTTCCAATTTCTTGAACTCTTTACAAACACCTACAAATTTCGAACAGTAAATAAATAACAAGATCACTTTAAAAACATTTTGAAAGTCCAAAACTGTGAGAAAACAAACCAACCTGAGAAGGAACTAAGAAATCGTCTACATTCAAAATCTTAACAACACCACTAAAACCTCCAGAATCATTATCCATTTCTACCGATGGTTATGAAATGAATACAACAAATTATAGCTGTTTTTTGCGAGAAAAGTGTATTGATATATATATTGAACGAAAATACGCTATTAATAAAGATATATTTTCACCAAATCACTGATAATCACCAGACTATCTTTTTAGGACGAAGAAAATTAAAATGAATACAAAACGACCATACCAGACTGTATGCTGCAGAGTCATAGTTTGTTTCAAAAAGAAGAGGGAAACTTCAATTACAAGGAATTGAATTGTTCAACCATAAGGCTGTTACAAAACATGCTAAACTAACATTCAAATCAAAAAATAGTTTCTTTAGGTCTTGCTAAAATACAATATTTTTTATAGCACGAACTGTTTTGCAATTTATTCTCTTATGTTACAATACAAATATTTCATACATAAAATAAAACAATCAAGATCGTCCAGGTATAACGAATTTATCTGCGACAATGTCTTTCGCTACTGCATCAAAAGCTCTGCAAAAAGTTAAAACTGGACGGAATCTATTAATAAACTGAGAAAAGTTCATTTCCCTTAAGAACTTTGCTCCAGGATAACATCTGCATCTGTATATGATTTCACGCGTCAATAACTCCGCGAAATTAATTTCCTAGATTTCTCAACCTACTACTGGATTTAATTCTAAAAATAGCTTACTTCGATTTTATATATTGTCCCGGAGTGTAAAAAGGATCTGATAACATATTGCAGTAGGCAGCATGTAACTTTTTAAATATCTGAAAATAGATAGGCTACTTATCCAATTCCTAGAATTCAAAACAGTGACATAATCAAAATGATAAGCTAAACTAATGGTAAGTTAGATTTATCAGTAAGCACAATGCAAGACTGCTGGCAAAAATGAAAAAATATTTCAATTTCTAATTACAGTTTTGTTTTTACAAGGACTGCAAATTTGATATAAAATATCAAAAGTGACTAACCGAACGTATGTCCTGATCTTTTAGTGTAGTATTTCCTACTTGAGTTACGATGATCATTTTCACATTAGTATTTGTTACGTACCCGAATGACTGAAAGAGTTGAAATATTATGAATGAAATTCAAAAAATCACAAAAACCCAGTTTTTAATTACATCTGGGATTTAAATTATTAACAACCTCACTGACTGAATTATTATAATCACGTCTATATTTAAAAAAAATAAGATTACACTATCTCTGAAAGCGCATTTTTTTGATTCTTGGACAAGTCTAATCAATAAAAAACTAAGTTCAAATTGCAAACTTGCTCATCAAACTGTTGACATTCATCATTTTTGAGGCAGTTTTAAATGTCTCGGATGAAAACTTGACCTTAAAATACTGGTCAGATATAAGATGGCCTAAATACGACTCCATGCTCTTGTTAGCACCGAATACTTTTTCATCAACAATATCTAATGAACAGTAGATGAACATTTGTATATGGAACACATCTGTATATCGAATACTTTCCTTTATAGTCATATAAAGCGGCATACTCTAAATATTCAAGGTATTTGACTCAACGAAGTCAATGATTACAAGATTATTTCGTTACTTATTAACAAAAGTGCTGTCATGTTTATATAAAGATTTATGTCATGAAAACTAATTGATATGATACTTGATATCAAAAAAACTTTCCACCTTGAATAAATTAGCAAGTACTGGAATGATTTCACCAATATCTCAGAACATAATTACGGCGAAAATAATACTAAATAATTAAGACTGAGAGTTGAGAAATCTCGATTTAATTACTGTTAATCCAAAATCCAAACAAACTTCTTCCATTTAATTACTGTACTGAGTACAGTGCAAAGTATAAAAAAATGGTAGAGGACGTAAATCAGAGTATCGGAAATTAACCAACATCTTTGGAGATAAGAGCAAGACTGATAGCCATTTTTGCCGCTTTTATCGAGATAATAGTGATGATTCCAATGTAAACAAAATGTCGAATTTAACTTAATCTGCTCTAAAAATACAGCTAGTGAAGATGAAACTTAAATTCAAGAAGAATATAATTCCTTCAAATTTCCAAGGTCACGTACTTCTCATTATTATGAAATCAAAAATTATGCTTCAAAATTCACATTAAGTTGCATGCAACGAAAATGCAATAGATTTAAATAATGTTGAGATGAACTGTGTATAAGAAATGTTTTAGCTTGTCATTTTAACATATTTATAATTTCTTGTAGAAGTTTAGAATTTGTCAGTAGTTTGTCAATATCTGCTTTGGTTTTTTCATGCAAAATCTCTACCGCTACATTTAGTTTCCAATTTTTTAACTTTTCAGCGTTTTTGGATCAATTAAATTACGAGAATTCGTAATAAAAATTTAGTAACATGGCGAAACATCATCCAGATTTGATATTCTGTCGTAAGCAGCCGGGAGTTGCGATTGGAAGACTTTGCGAAAAATGTTATTATATTATATACTCTTTTTGCATCCTTTTTAGACTTCTTTCTTGCTATTAGACTTATGTATGTACCAGAAAAATTAAATATAACGTCATGTTTTTAAAAGTTTCAGATGAGTTAACTGAGAAGAATTTTTATTATATTTGTGATCAAATATTTTATTTGGATCCGTGATTTAATAATCGCAAGACTAAGTTGTCCCATCACTTTAAATCATAGATAATATGTTATGCTGGCTGGGCTCAGCAAATATGAATAATCTGCAAAGCCTTCGAATTTTTTGCGTATTTCAGGTGATGGCCGTTGTGTTATTTGTGATTCTTACGTACGTCCGTGTACGTTGGTGAGAATTTGTGATGAGTGCAATTATGGTTCTTATCAGGTAGAACTTATTTACTAAAATTCGGAGTGCTTTGTTTTGGACAGTTTTTTTCAACTAAAAGATAAGTCATTATGTTTTTCTTATATAATTCTTTTCTCCTCTAAAATTGCATGCGATAAGCACTCGAAAGGTTCAAAATTAGGGAGTGGATTTATATTATTGTCGTTGCAGGGTCGTTGTGTAATTTGTGGAGGTTCAGGCGTAAGCGATGCTTATTACTGCAAGGAATGTACAATTATGGAAAAAGATCGAGATGGTTGTCCAAAAATTGTGAACTTAGGAAGTGCGAAAACCGATCTTTTTTACGAGAGAAAGAAATATGGTTTCAAAAAGAATGCATAGCACCTAATTTTTGAAATATATTCAACAATAAAAATTTTCTCGTGTCTAACAATTTACTTACGTAGAAAATTCGTTATTGATTTGTTCTGTCTGTTTTCGTGATATTCAACCATTTTATGATTCTGCAATCGATATGTATGAATATAATGTCATTTATATATTTAATACAATTCTACAATTGTTTTTTTCATGTCGTATGTCTAGCTTCGTTCATGTATGCCTTCTTTTTTCATTTAGTTTGGTGCAAACTTCATTCAAACAATAGGTATAATTCATGTTTGGTTACACGTATCTCATATTGTTTCTTTGGATGTAGCCTGTTCCTTCTTC